CCCCCGGTGGCAAGGGAGGATGCTAAGTAGGCAGGATCTCATATTTTTAAAATAATTTTTTCAAATTTAAAAATTACAAATTCATCTTTTTTTTGTGGTAAAAAATCATATTTTCCCCCCTAAATTAATTATTCAAATAATAATAATAATCTTTTTAAATCATTAAAAAATACAATACAAATGATAGTTTTTTGTACAAAATCTAATAGCTGTTCTATTAAATCAAATAATTGTTATCGTGTCATATGAGATACTTATTGAATTAGTGAATTTAGATTATTTATTGATTCAAATCCATTTATTCTTGGCCTCACTTTTATTGCTTGTATCCAAATTAAATATATTTTGTACAAAAATTCATTAAAATATCAAACATCTAAAAATGAAACAAATTTAACTTGAACCATGTAAAATTAATGAAGAGTACTCGACGAGATTAGGTACTGGTGATTTAAAATAATGCTACCAACCTTGGCCATATAGATTAATGAATTTTAATTGAAAAAACTTTGCAGTCGCAGCTATGGGGTTCATTAAAACAAACTTGCAACAAATTTTTTAGGACACTTTAGACTTTATTAAGATTACATAACTCGCAATTTAGTAAGATGTAATTCATCACATTAACATGCATAATAATTTAATTCAATTTTGTTAAAAAATTAATTTTTACACTCCTATCTTTTAAACTATGAAATTGTATAATTAGACAATGTCCAGAGCTCCATACATGCTTTAATTTTTTCAATTTTTTTACCCATCATATAAGTTATAAAGAATTTTGATAATAAAAATATAAAAGAATCAATATGCTATTATTGCCTATTTTCATTGATTTTTGGTCTAAGTGTTAATTTCATTATTCTTTTTATACAATCTAATAATATTATTATTTAATGTAATAAAAAATATAATTGACTACCTCGATACTTATAATTAGGGCTGCACATATGACCCAATAATCTAGTAAACTCGGTTTAGCCTGATGTGACCCGGTTTTAAAAAATCTAACCCAAAAAAAGAGATCAGACTATTTGGGTTAAACTAAACCACTAGATAAAAGCAGGTTAAGAAATGTGCTTTTAGACCAATTGGTCCTGCCTAGTCTAGGTAAGATATATTGAAAAATAAATATTGTAGGTATAAATTAAAAGAGGGCAAATATGTTTCTCTTCCTCCTCTTTCTGCCATGTGTGAGTACTCTTCTTTGCGACGGTCCTCTTGCCCTCTTCCTTCTCCACTTCATCAATGGCATTCTTCCATATATCTCGTTGCTTCTTCTCCAAGGCTTAGGGTCTTCACTCTTTAGATCTTCGCTGCCTCTCCTTCTCTTGCGTCTTTTTCATGATGTGATGCGGTTTTGCTACTTCAATGACATCTTCTAGATCTATTGAACTAAGGATGAAGACCCCTTTCTTGATCTACCGAATCCGAAGGCAAAGCCACCATTTCCTTTTCCCCCTCTAGTTGTGGGTATTTTGTTCTCTCTCTCATAATGCTATGGTGTCGAGAAAGAGTGCAAACAATCTTCATTTGTTCCTAGGCTTTTTGTTTATATCTTGCAATGAAGATTTTTGTAGAAGAAATTGAAAGCTACTAATAAAATCTTGTTCATAACTTTGTTTGATTATTGATTAAGTTTTGATTTATGATTTTTGGTATTAAAAGTATGCGCACAACTTTTTCTTTCTTTTCCTTTTTCCATCATTAATGCTTCACGATTCATCTCTATGTCCAGCAACTTTTTTTTTTTTTTAAAGAAAGAGAGAAAGTTTGACATGGGAGATTGATCTAATAACTCGATAGACTAAGTCCAATAGAGACTTGATCTCGAATTTCACTAGATGGGACTAGTCTTCAAATTAAAAAATCTAGCCCGATGATATTTTAGACTAGTCTTCATGTTGTTGTTTAACCTAGTTCAACTCGATCTTTGTGCAACCTTACTTATAAATAATAAATGATGTGGCTCAATTATAAATTTACTTTCAATTCATGAGAGGTATATTAATTTTTTATTATATTATATAAAGTTGAAAACTAATTTTAAGATCTTTTCTACTTATGTTATATTTACATCTCTTTTAAAATTTGACTATTTGCCTTACTTATCTATTTATATGGTTTGAGTTTGAGATTTTCAACAAAACTAGTTTTTTTGAAAAAAGAAAAATAAGTAGGCTAACCCACCAACCCATAGGTTAACTAGTTACGAGTCTAAATTATGTGGGGGTGGACCAAAATTGTCCTGAATATAAATAAACCCATTTTCTCCGATTTAACCTGCTATATTTTTGTGGGTTGGTGAGTTGAGCATATAGGCTCAACTTATATTATCAACTCTATCACCATTCATGTTAAGGATGAAACTAGCTTTAAATTCACCATTTGAGTTCTGACGAGTACCACCATAGCCTTTAATGTTATGATGCATAGCAAAAGCATTATTCACATTTAACTTAAACTAGTCCTCATTTGATAGAGTCCAAGTTCCATTATGGATGGGGACATTATGTTGTCTCCACATAGCAACCTTCAATTTGCTATGATAATCTTTATAGGTGTGGTAATAGCCAAAGTCTATGTATTGATGATTGTGTTTGGAATAATTTTATCTCAAAATATTCTCTCATTTTGCTTTCTCCAAATGATCCAACGAGCAATTTAGAAGTACACACACTAGGAAACACCGTCTTTCTTCCTTGAAGACCACATGTTCCATCTAATCCACTCATGTATGTTCTCCTTAAAGAACAAACTTCTATGATCATGCTTAAGGATCTACCTCTAAAAGCTTTTCATAATAGGACAATCTCTGAGAACTTGAAGAGTATCCTCAAAAACATCTATGCAAATCTCACACCGATCATCATCATACATTCCTCGCATCTTGTGACATGCATTCATAAGAAGTTTGTTATGATAAGAAAGCCACAAAAAAGACTTATATAATTCTAAAACTTGCAACTTCCATATCTTCCTCCACGTGATATCATGGACTTCTATGTATTGTGCCAGAGAGGCATAATGTAAAATCCACCTTTATCTAATCACAAATAAAACCAAAAATCAAGATAATTAAGGGATTAACTCATAAAGAGATTACTAAGTTTGTAATTTAAAATAATAGGATCTCAATTTTTCATAGTTTAAAATACCTTAAAAACCATTTATTAACTTATAATCAAAGTAAAATGGTGTCACAGAAGCATAAGATACTTTAGATGAGTGGAAAAAAAATTAAAAATAGTTGAAAAACCTCAAGGTGCTAAAAATAGAGCCATGCGCCGCGGCTAGTGCACCATGCATCACAGCTTGTTGCTCTCTATGTGACGCTTCTGATGCAGGCATCATGCGCTGTGGTGTGTTTGCACACTCATGACATCAATTCTGTTATCATTTGATAGTAGAATCTAACAACTTCTGATGTGCTCCATTTCTTCGTCTGAAGTCCAAATGAGATTATCTATGTGTTTATGGAAAGCTTTTTCATAAACTAGTGAATGGCATTGGTTTTACTTCCACAACAAGTCATACTAAGAAATTGGACATTCAAATATATTTTCATACTTTTTTACAATTTTCAAAACAAAGGGTGTCCAAAATCATATACAATCGCCAAACATCATTCCTAACACCTAGACTATATTCATTGGACCTATGGCTAGTCGTACAATATACCACATTCACATTCACACCACTATATTAAAATTTCACTCCCCAACTCCTTTAATACCAAAAGCAGAAGGGGAAGGTTTTGGCAGTGCATTTTAAAATAATAATTACTATTGTAACCAAATAAACATTCATATACTTATACTAGTATTTTGGCTCAATCAATTTTTACAATTTAACATAAATAACTTCTTAGGGCCTAAAATACCAAGCAAACATCACAGACAACTAAATAGCACAAGTGTAAACAAAATGCATTCTAATTAAGTCTATTAGACAAAATAAATAAATTCTAGAGGCATACACTAGGAATACCTAAATTTTTAAGCCTTTAGAGCTTTTTCCCTTTTTGCACCAAAACTAGAGCCCGTAGAATATTAAAGAAAAGGAATGAATTTAGTCTCTTAGTAACCAAGATAAGCCTACCTTATACAATTGTGTATCAATTGAATAAACACATGAGTTTAAAATTGATTTTCTCAAAGCACATACTAACACATGAATCACAAATTACCATTCTCAATTAACTCATTTTCATTTTAACCACAAGGTACATTACCACAAGACACATATACATATGACAATGACTTGAAATATTAACATGACTTGTCACAAGCTTAATCATATAACACATCCTATAATCACATATGCATGATTAAACCATCCTCCTACCCTCCTTACTTCCTCCAACTGAAATTGTGAGCTATAATACCAAATAGGGCTTCGTCCGTGTAACCAGACTATCCAAGCTTATCAATTGTAAGGTGTGACCTGATTAAAGATCACATGACTCACTCTCAGACTATAATTTTTTCTACTCTCAAATCTCTGGGGTGTTAGGCTAACCTCTTCAATAAATTAGTGGAGATAGTTAGGTTTTAATTTTTTAACAAACTATGAAAAAGTCTCCCAATAAATTATAAGACAAGGCTATACCCTTGAGTATTAAAAGGTAGCCAAAAATATCATTTAGATTTTATCTACTCCTCTCCCTAGATGAAGTAATGTAAATTCAACTCACTTGAATTTGACTTAAATTTAATGCAAATTGAATCTGTGTAAAATACTTCAAATCCAATCTAAATAAATTTAATGTAAATTAAATCTGACTTAAATAAGTTCAATTCACTTAAATTAGCCATTTTACTTAAGATTTATTATGCAAGCCAGTAAATTTTTAAATAGGCTTACGGACTCGAGCCTTTTGAGGCTAGATCTAAATCGTGAAAAAAATTTTATTTAGATTTGAGTCAAGGCTGACGCTTCAGAAGTCACAACAATCGTAGCCTATTTATTTGGTCAAAATCTAGCCCCAGTCTCTTTCCACCCTGGTGGTGAGTGCCAGCAAGCCAAGTCCCACGGCCCACCTTCACGCTTCTCTCTTCACCGGTTCACCTTCGCGAAGAGACGGAGACACGCACAGGCTCACTCACTCACACTGGTTAGTCGCTGTTGCTCTCGCTCTCGCTCAATTCGGCAAAGGCTCTTACTTTAGTTCAGATTCAGATTTCAGAGTTCAACACCTCAACGTTCAGGGCTTCATTTTTCTGCTGCGTTTGATTTGCTATACTTTGCGTTCTCGTTCATCTATGCTCAGATTCAGATCTTCAGTCTCCTTCATACGTCGGCGTCGTCGTCTTTCTGATTTCTACCGTGAAAGCTGGCCCTGTAAGGTATTTTACTTTATTTTTTTTTTAGTTATTTCTTCAGTCCCCTTCATTTTATCTTTTTCGAGTTATTTCGTCCTCTGTTCTGATTTCTATTGTGGATTTGTTTTGGACTTCAATTGAATATGTAAATAACCAGCCTGCCATCTTGGACTACTTAGTTGGGTATTATTTGATATGATGTTGGAAAATTAATAGCTATATTAATATTGATATTAATTCAGGCGGATTCCTCTGTGCTCCATTCTGGAAAAGTTCTTGAGATATTGATGGACGAACGTACTTCTTAGCCACATATTTGTACTGAAACATGAATGAAATACAAGTGAGATATCATGGGGTTTTGCCTCTGTGAAGAACTTGAAGGCATATCTTAAGAGAATGATGCAGCCAAGAACGAAAACAAACATGTTAGTTCACAAAGCAATCATGGGGTTTTGCACAATCACTTGCCCACGCTTAGTTCATTATACCAAGCTCATATCTTCTCACATCAACCAAGCTCGGCATGACCAAGCCCTAGCTATTTTCCACCATATCCAAACCTCCCTAGCAATGCCTCTTGATCCCCATGTCTTCTCTCTCATCCTCAAGTCCTGCACTGCCATTAACCATCCACAACTTGGTGTTGCAATTCATGCTTACGTCACCAAAGTTTCTTTCATATCAAATCCTTTCATTGCAAGCACTCTGATTGACTTTTATGGGAAGTGTGCCTCACTCTCTATAGCACGTCAAGTGTTTGATGAAATTCCCAACAGAAATGACGTTGTTTGGAATACAATGATATCCCTTTATACACATTCTAATGATGTAGCTAGCGCTTTACAACTGTTTGATGTCATGGATATTATGCCCAATGAATCTATTTTTAATTCAATTATAGCTGGCTTGGCAAGATTAGACGGTGGATCATTTGAGGCCATTGCATTCTATCGACGAATGCACCGACTGGGGTTGAAACCTCGATTAATAACACTTCTTTCTCTACTGCCAGCTTCTGTAGGTGTAGCAGCTCTGAATTTGATAAAGGAGATCCATGGTTATGCAATAAGGAATGGCATTGACCCACATCCTCAATTGAGTAGTGGTCTAGTGGAGGCATATTGGAGATGTGGTTGCCTCTTTAATGCACACTCCATATTTTGGAGCATGAAGGAAAAAGATGTAGTTGCTTGGAGCAACATAATATCAGCATATGCACTTCACGGTGATGCAAAATCTGCCCTAGAAATGCTCCATCAAATGGAATTGGCACATGTGAAGCCTGATGATATCACGTTTCTTGTAGTATTGAAAGCTTGTAGCCATGCAGGGTTAGCTGATGAAGCATCTTATTATTTTAAGAGAATGTGTGAATGTTATGACATTGAAGCAAATAGTGATCACTACTCTTGTTTAATTGATGTTTTGAGTAGAGCAGGAAGGTTATATGAGGCATATGAGGTTATTCGAGAGATGCCAGTGAAGGTGACTGCAAAAGCGTGGGGTGCTCTTCTTGGGGCTTGTCGAACTTATGGAGAGGTGGAGTTGGCAGAGATAGCAGGAAGAGCTTTGTCAGAGGTTGAGCCAGATAATGCTGCCAATTATGTTTTGTTGGCAAAAATTTATGCTAGTGTGGGGAGACATGAGGAAGCTGAGAGAATGAGAAGGAAAATGAATGAGCGAGGAGTACAGGCAGCAATTGGCAGTAGCTGGGTTTTAGATTCAGAGTGATGACATTTATGTTCATTATTCCTATTGGCCATCCCCCCCCCCCTCTTTTTTTTACATTGTTTATGCCCAGAATGACAACTTGCGCAAGGCATATGTTGGGAGGGAGAGGGGTATTGTTTGAAGGCCAGCATTCTACCTTGTCAAGCCTGGTAAGTATTTACATCAAGAGGGTTTTGTAGGCCAACGTTCGATCTTCATTTAAATAGATTAATCTAAATATATGAAAATGTTAAAGCCTCCTAGCTTCGAAGATGATGTTTTATCATGGAGTTTAACTACGAATGGTACGTTTTCGATTAGTTCTTCTTACTTCTTGATTGAGGACTGTGGTACTTCCCCTTTTAACAAAAAGTAACTGGAGTCGGTGCTTGACTAGATGTAATTGGTGCAATAATCAAGGGGAGGATCTGCTCCATGTTTTGAGAGAATATCGCTATTCAAGAGAAATGTGGCAGTTGATGATTAAACAAAGCGTTGCTAGAGCTTTCTTCAATTCAAATCTTCAAGATTGGATCTACTTGAATCTCACTAGTAAGCTTGCAAGGAATTCTGATATTCAGTGGGATATTTGGTGGTAGCAGTGTGGAAGCTTTGGAATTGGAGGAATCAGTTCTTACATCTTGACACCTTTGCTAAGCCATGGAAAGAAAGAATGTTAAGTGGGAACCGGCACCTGTTAATTGGCTACGTTGGGAACTTCTGGTTTATCTGCATGTGGGGGTGTAATGCGAAATTGCTCTGGAGAAATGGGTTGCTGGTTTCAATTTTTCTTTGGGTATTTGTCAACCTCAAGATGCTGAGGAATGGGCCATCCTTAACGGCGTTGATGTAGCTTGGAATTTGGGCTTTCGGTCACTCATTATTGAGCCTGATTCTAAGGCCACAATGGACAAGTTAAATGAGTCAAGAGGTCACTCAAGTGATAGTTCAGTTATGCAGGAAATCGAGAGATTGAAGGAGAGGAATTGGCAGCTGAAATTCCATTATGCTCCTAGGGCATCAACAAGGTAGCTGATAGTATTGCTAAAGCAAGCCTCGCAATGAGTAATAGGTTTCAATTTTTGTATAGAGCCCCGGATTCTCTGGTGGCATTATTGCAGAGCATGATGTAATCGGATTAGAATCCCCCTCGTCTTCTTTATTTGAGTCCTAGGGAATTTTCCCTTCTCTTGTGAAAAAGGGGGAAAAAAAAAGGTTATTCATAGAGGAAAGTGAATAATAATTCCATAATATCAATTTATTCTATTTACTATATTCTATTGAGCTCCTTTTAAATAGAAAAGTTGATTTCTCAAACTTCGTGAATAAAAAGGCAGCTATTTTCCATTGGACCCATTAATGATTGAATATGATTCAGTAATACCATATATAAGATAATTATATAAAAAATAATTATATTTCTTTTTATAAAAAAATGGTTGAATTTATCAAAATGTAATTCAAAAAGAACAAGAACGCTTTATCATCAATTCATAACTCAAATTCCTTTAAAGCTGATAGGAAACATTCCAACTAACAATTTTCAAACATTCCGATCATGCCTCAAGTGGAAGATATTTGGGGTTGCTAGGTCTCCAAGCCCACATAATTTTGTTGGGAGAATCACATCTTAAACTCTTGGAAAGGATAATTTTGTATAGAAGGTCTAATAGAATTTGAAATTTTATGAAAAAAGGTCAAAAATGTCCCTGATTTTCATGGATTCTTTTTTGAATGTTGGAAGTCCCTCATATGAGGATAACAGGATTTTGTGTTGTATTAGGCCTTGTAAAGAAAATTGTAAAGAAGGCCTAATAAAAATTAAAATTTCTCTGAAAGCTCATAGGACCAAAGTAAAATTATGTTTCGAGGTGAAAAATAAAAAATGCCTCTACTTTGTTTAAGATCCCTTTTTGAATGTTGTAAATCCCTCTTGATGATAAGTGAATTTTGTGTTTATTTTTTGTAATAATTTTTGTGTTGTTAAAACATAAATATTGTCTTGTAAAGGACCGTGGATTCTGAATGTTGAATTTGGAGTGAGGCTCGTGATTCCCTTCAAATTCTATGTCCCCCTCCCCACTCCTTCATTTCTTGTTTTCCTCTTTCCTCACTCTACTATTCTCCTAATTTTAGGGGGCAATACTAAGTTACATATACCATGCCCATGTCAAGCCAGTTACTTTGTGTCGTTGCCCAAAAAAAAAAAAAAGTATTGTGTTTTATTTCTAAAGCATCATTAGAACTATTCTTCAGGGTAAACAATCAAATTGATTGATTAAAATAATATTTTAGTCTTTTACATGTATAAGAAATAACATTAGTTTGTTGATATTCATTTATAATTTAATGTATTTAATCTATATTAATTTGAAAAAATGACTGTATAATCTCTTTAAATTATATAAATAACAATCTAGTCCCTAGGGGTCTCTTTGTTAATAAATTTTAAATTAACAAAAATTATTTTACCCTTATCAATAAATTATGATTTCTTATTCAATTATTGTAATTTTTGAATAAAAGTTGTGATTATCTAAATAAAAGTTGTGAATGGGGTTTGTTATTTTAAAAACTTATTTTTTAATAATAGAAATTATATTTGATAAATTATGATTTATTGTTCAACTCTTGCAATTCACAAAATAAAAATTATTATTTCTTAAACAAAAGTTGTGATTGGAGCTTTTTTTTTAATAGTAAAAATTACACTTGATAAATTATGATTTTTTGTTCAACTCTTGCGATTTATAAAAAAAAATTGTGATTGGAGCTTGTTAAATTTAGTAAGGGTAAAATAATCTTTTTACTTTAAAATTTAATGACAAAGAGGTTCTTTACATGTATAAGAAATAACATTAGTTTGTTGATATTCATTTATAATTTAATGTATTTAATCTATATTAATTTTTTTAAAAAATGAAAATATAATCACTTTGAATTATATAAATGGCAATCCTCTTTGTCAATAAAGTTTAAATTAAAAATATTATTTTACCCTTATTAATAGGTTGTGATTTTTTATTTAATTCTTATGATTTTTTGAATAAAAGTTGTGATTTTTTAAATAAAAGTTATGAATGGGTTTTTTATTTTAATAACTTGTTTTTCAATAATATAAATTATATTTGATAAATTATAATTTCTTATTCAACTCTTACAATTTACAAAATAAAAATTATTATATTTTAAGCAAAAGTTATGATTGGGGTTTGTTTTTCAATAGTAGAAATTACACCTAATAAATTATAATTTCTTATTTAACTCTTACAGTTTACAAAATAAAAATTGTGATTGGAGCTTGTTACTTTTAGTAAAGGTAAAATGATATTTTCACTTTAAAATTTATTAACTTAGAGATCCCTAAGGATTCCATTTGGATTATGACATTTTAAAGGACCAGATTATCATTTATATAATTCGAAGAGATCTTATTATTATTTTTCTTATTAATTTTCTTATAGAGAACATATGTATAAAATTGAGCATATTTTGTGTGTGTGTGTGTGTGTTTTTTTTTTGTAGAGAAGGGTAATACTACTATGCTTTTTATTCTTGAGGAGTCCTCAAAGTACCTAAAAAAATTGAAAGGCAAATTAACATTAGGGAAAATGACAAGTAAAGATCCCAAAAGAAAGTTACTATAAAATTAGGTTTTTTCCCCCCAACACCAAAGTTCTCAAATTCAGCATTTCTTGTCCCATGTTTCAATACTAAAATTTTTAATTTAACACTAATTTTTTTATAAGATTCTCACTTGTCATTTTCTCTAACTAAAAATGTGTCAAATTTTAAGATACCAAAGTCAATTTACTTAATAACTTGTTAGCCTTTCTTCAAATTTTAGAATCATTTGATACAAGACAGAGACTAAATTCAAGATTATAATGTTAAAGGAGAATAATAAATAAGAACCTTATAAAAAAATAATATTAAATTAAGAATTTTAATATTGAAATATGAAAAAAGAAGTAATGTAATATAGATATTTTAAAATTTAATATAAATATTCTAAAATTTAACACTAACGCGACTTTTAAAATATGATTGTCAAAGTTTTGAAGGATCAATGTTAAATTTCAGAATTTCAGTGTCAAATTTTAAAATATTAGTATTGAATAATTGAAGGAAAATTTATTATTTTATTGATATTTTAAATTCACTTGATCTCAACTTGAAATTGAATTTATGTTTTACTCTCAAGCTATTTCACTCTAACGACATTCTCTCAAGTACCATAACTTACTAACTTTCGTTTATATATGTGAAAAAAAAAAACCATCTTAAATTGACATTTCAATAAGGGGAGGGATAACAAATTATCAGAAATAAAATGGTCAGATAAATTTTTTCAATACATTTTTTAATTTATTTTAAAATTTAACTGTCATGAATTTAGGATACTTTATTATCATTTTTTCTCAATTAAACGTATTTAAGAAAATCAAACAGCAAAGGTTATGAAATAAAAAGAAATACAAAGAAGATAATAGATCCACGTGTCACAAAGTTAAGGTCACGGCCGGACCCACATGCCCAATTTGTCCCTATCCTGAAAGCACCAGTCGTCTTCCTCATTAGAAAAAGATACCAAGAAAGAAAAACCATATACACAGTACACTTATCCGAAACCATGTCCAGCTTCACTCACACCACCACACTCCTCCATGCCCATGTCAAAACCAAGCACCAAAACGCCAATCAATCTTCTTCTTCTTCTTCTTCTTCACAGCAAAACCTAACCACCACAACCACCACCAACAGAAGAAAACTGGTCTCGACCTTCCTGACCACTTCAATGGCGGCGATTATTGCCGCAGCCCATGTGGTGCAGCGGCCGCCGGCAGCCCTGGCAGAGAAATGGGGTACCCGGTCCTTCCTCCGAGAGCACTTCTTCGAGCCGGGGCTGTCGCCGGAGGACTCGGTGGCGAGGATAAAGCAGACGGCGGAGGGGCTGCATAGTATGAGGGAGATGTTAGATACCATGTCGTGGAGGTACGTCATCTTCTACATACGCCTCAAACAGGCCTATCTTGATCAGGATTTGAAAACCGCCATGGCCACCTTGCCTCAAGGTCTCCGAAAGGACTATGTTAAGGTTGCTAATGAGCTGGTCGATAATATGGCTGAGGTATGTACATGAATTCGTTGCTTATAAATTTAAATTCTTGAAGCAATTATATGCTGTGTGTGAAGAAATGTTAGAATGGGTGTTATCCAAAAGAATATTAACATATAGAACATAAATCTGTTTGGATTAATTTGAATAATACACCTTTCAATTCCATAAACTTAGAAAAAAAAGTTCCATATACCAATTCTATAGAGAGAGAAAGTGACAGCGTACATAAGTATTCCTTAACTTGAGATACACAAGGTTAATTCCATGACTAGTCTGTTAGATTGAGAGTATTTAAAACTTTAATGTTTCCTGGCTACCAACAAATGTTGGCTTAGTCAATGTGATCTATAACTTATAAAATTGTAGAATTTGAGGACGTTCTTGTAAAAATGGTTTCAAGACATTCTAATCTGATACTGTGGCCTCTGGGTAAAAATCTCAGTTGTGATATTTATAATTTGACCTCCGGTGAAATTTAAAATATAGCTTTGATATCTGAACACATTTTCATGGCAACTATACCCCTAAACCTTACTATTACTTTCTAATACCAAGTTAATTAGACTACATTTATTAATTAGACTTAACTAATTAAATAATAGCTACACGTTTATAATATTTTCAAGTGCGACACTGCATATTAACGTAACTTTTGTTTCAACAAAGTCACTCTTACTACCTGGCTTCTTCATCCATTCATTCTGGGCTGATGAAATGGAGTAGCAAGCGGATCAAAATGGTCTAATATGTACTTGTTTGATTTTGTTTTCTGTTTTTATGTTATTTTTAAAAACAATTATGTAGAGTAAATTTGTAGAACAAGTTTTGAAAAAAAAAAAATCTTTTGCAATCATTATTATTAAAAACATATATAAAGTGATGAAATAAATGGTGAAAGAATTATTATTTTATTAACATAGTTGTCATCAATAAAATCATGATAACAACATGAGATATATTTAATTTTTCAGAATAATGATTCACACAAATTTAAAGACTACTTTTCCACATAAATTCTTTTTTTAGGAGTATTGGATACTCTATATTAAAATGTGGGGCAATATTCCTATTATACAATTTTTTTCAAAAGTAAAATTACCTTTCAATTAGGGACCCTTCATTTTCTTCATTATCTATTGACATTTTGGGGTCCATGTATAATGATAGCAAGATATTTTGACCTAGTTTGTCATCCCTTTTACAGCTAAAATAAGGTTTAGTCTTGCTGCTGCCATTTTCTAACCTCTTTGACCCATGTCAGATGGTCAAAATAAATTAAAACGCTTTTTGATATTACTATGTAGTAGATAACAAAGAAAATGATAGATTTTTAACAAAATAATGATTTTATTCTTAAAAAAAATTATCTAAAGGGAATATTATTTCACCTTTCAATACAGGATGCCTAATGTTTATTTAAAAAAAAATTCTAGAAAACAAATAATCTTTAACCCTAAATTATGTCATATACAAAGGAAGTATGATTTCTAGTAACACTATAAAAAAAAATCGATGCACTAGCAATGGTCGATGATGCTTTTGAAAATGCCATCAAAGGAAACATCATCGACACTCTTTAAAAGTGCTGACCATGTTGACGTTAATAAACATAAACAATGTCAGAGTTTCTATATGAATGTTGCCGTTGGCGGCGCTTTTAAAAAGTGTCGCTAGCCCCCACTAACGGGCTTTCTGAAAGTGTCACCAATGGTGACATTTTTCAATAAAAACCTTGTGTCTTCCTCATTTTAAACAGCTTTGTTTATTGTAAATGAATGCATTTTTTCTTTGCATTTCTATCATTTTTGTCATGCTGCTCCTTCATCTAGTCATTTTTTCTATTCTCAAACTAAATTTCTATCGTGCTATACTTTCCATCTTCAATTTTAGTCGGTGCGTCTTTATCTAGGTTTTCTACAACTTTTTCTTCATTTTCTTCCTTTTGAACACTAATATATTTCTATAAAATTCATCATTTCTCATCTATCCTTTCTCTAAAATAAGTAAATTTAACTTTATATTATCAAAATCTTTATCAATAAAAATAATAATAAACATAAAAATGGTTTATACTGCTTTATTATTTTCTAACAAAAACAAATTCTTTGAATTTAATAAAAAATGGGGTAAACAAAATTAATTAAATAAAATAAGTATAATTTAAAAAATTAATTGAAATTTAAGTGTAAAAATATTTTTCAATGGAGGTGCTTTAAAAGCCACTATATTGGAGGCAATTTTAAAAGCATCTTTTATGGCGGCGTTGTCCAAAAGCATCACCAACTCCAAGCATTTTAAAAGTGCCTTCAATGGCATGGTTTTAAAGCCTCCTTTATATAGTGCACTTGTACTTCCAAAGCTACTATGAAAACAATCTCAACAAACATAGACTCAACGATTTATTTATTTATTTTGTAGTCTAAAAGGCAGATGGACGATATTTCTATAAGTAGATCAATTGAAATGAAAATTTTATATGTGCATATATACAATGTAGATTGAACTGCTAATATATACGTTGTGGTTGTGTTTGTTGATGTGTGTTCAGCTTGATCGGTACGTTCGGTCACCAAAGGTGTATGAATCGTACCTGTACTATGAGAGGACTTTGAAATCAATAGATGATCTTGTGGCCATGTTAGCATAGCACAAATCCATCGCTAGCTATACCTATTTGCAGTGTCTCAAGAAGCTGCAAATCTGTGTAATTAACGTCCATGAAGGATTTTTGTGGTAAAACAAGCAGTCAAGCTAGTGTATTTTCGACAGTCATGTAACATATCAGATTATCGTATACAAGCTATTCATTTATTTGCATCACAAGTTGAAAGTTCAAGACCTTATCATCTCCAATTCATATATAAAGTTCAAGACCTTATCATCTCCAATTCATATATAGTCCATATAATTTTTGTTGGGGTAAAAATATCGAATATATTAACATTAGAAAAAAGAAAAAGAAAGTCATATATAAAAGTTAAAGTTGGACAAGAAAAATTAATAGAAACTAAATGGTGGCTTAACTAAACAGAGTCACACTCTTCCAAAATCTAATAACTAAAAAACATATTTAAGAGATGCCTAATATCCTTGACTATTGGGCATTTACTTTTGCGAGAGAAGAAATGGCTATTGTTGAACTTTATAATTCTAGCTCTTCCATTTGCACAGTAGAATCATACTGATTTGTCCAGAAAATTATATATCCAAAAAAAGCAAGCTTATGCAGATCACCTGAAAAGAATTCCGGTGGAACATAACGCGAATGCATAAATAGAAGGCTTTGAAGATTTTCACCATTAAGAGAGATTTCCACATAATAGTAGGTTTTCCCCCTTTTCTTGAACTTGCAAATCTAGATCTCCATGTAGATGGATGAGCTTGAAATTCCTCTTGTTTTTGAACCAAATCCTCGGTGATAGAGCTCTGCAAATCTTTAATTGGAGGAACATATTGTTGATTAAGATTCCAGTTGGATGCAAGTTTCAGGAATTTTAATTCTCCTTTGTATTCTTGAATGAATTTCTCAACTAAGACACCTTTTCCAATGTGGAGAAATAGATTTCTCTTGTGCCAAATTTTATGGATTATGGTAAAATTACCCTTAATTAAGCAAATCTGTTTCTTGGTTTTTGAATAAAACCTTCAAAGCTTGAAGAATCCAATCAATGAGACCTAGCTCAAAGATGGTGGTTTCCTGCACACCACAACCAAAGACAAAAATATTAGAATAATTAAGGTGATGACCTACAAATGTCACATGTTGGAATTACATTATGGATCAACTTCGATGTGAAGAGCAAAGTCTAGAGAGGTAGATGTAGTTTCCATAAAAAGTCCCAAATTTTTTCATTGGCATAAGGGTTGCTAGAAGTCCCAATAGAGAGCTTGAAGTCTTCTTTCACTATTTATATTGACCTTTACCCGACATAACACTATCATTAGGATCCATACAAGATATGGAGTGTTAAGTATATATTTAACAAAATCCTCATCATACAATTTAGTAATAATAGAAGCATTCCAAGAAACAGTCGTCCAAGGATTGAGGTTTTTAATAAGGAAATCCAAAACATTAGTTATATTGAGTTCTTTCAAAAGAATCATCCGATGTTTCCACCAAAAGTCATGAGTGAGAATGATAAAGTGATAAGAGCTTTAAACTTGCTTATATAAGTAGAAAAAGGAACAAACTAATCATTTGAAAACCTAATATGGTTAAAGAGAATATTTCTCTCTTTTTAATTATTGAATAAATCCTATCATAATAGAAATTGATCTATGATGGTGGATAAAATCAAACATCCTTAAAACAATTTTAAAAATAATAAAAATCCTTACTATGGTAGAAAGAAATAACTCAACTCATAGTACTATTATAGTATAAAGAATTTAACTAATAATAATAAATACTATATGTTAACTATGGTAAAAAAAGGAAAAACTCATAAAAAGATTTACCATGCTTAATAAAATAAAACTTATACAAATAATATATTTTTCAAGCACATAGTTGGGCCCAGGTACATTTAAGGCCCACAATAGCATCCAAATAGAAGGCCCATAACAATATTCAAGACCCAAAATTCATAAATCTAGATTTTGAAATAAAGTAGTTTATCCATATCTAGATAATTGTGGATCCACAAATATCATTCAAGCATCCTAGGCCTTCGGCTTTAACTAACAGTACTCATCCCAATGTGCGGAAACATAAACCAGTCGTGCAATTAGTTAAAGATCTCAACAATTACAAACCCAACTTAAACGACACAAATTAGGGTGAATGAGCCCGAGGTGGCAATATACAAATCAAATGCACAAAATGAGGCAAACATAAGACTACTTTATAATTTATGCCTCAAGTGCCCTTTCGACAGCCTATCCATAGAACTTTCACCTAAAAATATTAAATCACAAGTGAGACAAAGTCTCAGTAGCAAGAAAAACTAATTTAAAAAGTATGCAGATATGGAATACAAGCTAGCAAAATGGACAAATAAGACACACCCACACACACACAGTTTTTATATAGAAAATGTTTCCAAGCAAATATCTGAACAAAATATTATAGCTTGAACTACCAAACTTATAACCTCCACTACTTTTGATAGACTTGAATCAACTCGAGAGATATAATTTGGCCAAAGGTCATAGAGTTCTTCTTGAGTTATGGTCCCATCTCTTATCATGCAGGCTCAAGAGGTGTTATGTTATTCCCAAAGATTTACCCTAGTCTCAACCAAAGGACAAGGAAGGTGTCAAAGGGATTGTCAAATTGCCAACCATAGGATCTTTGGTGGTAGTTATACCATAATATTGGCATCATTTCTACAAAAATATTAGAGTACTTGCGTCATTTCAGCCTACGTATGATGATGTAAATAAGTATGAGCAATCCATGGATGTCCACAGCTTGATCACAAAGTTAATATACATAATTAATAATGGAAATATTCACAATAAATCTAAATTAAACGGACTTTTAAAGTATGAAGTCCCTAATTTTCAACTAAATTCCAAAACTCTAAATAAATTTTCAATTTCACATTTTAATCTCAATTCTAATCATTCATCAATCCAAACAACTCAAGTAAATAACTAATTATAAATCTTAACATCAAATCATATAAGATCCTCAATCTTACTACTTATGTTTCCTCTAAAAATTCTTAAATTTCAATTCAAGTCTAAATAATAAATTTTTAAATCGACTAAATCTCAATTCCAATCTAGATAAACATAACCCAAACATTAAATTCAAATTTAAATGGTTAGAATATCATTAACCACCTCAAACCTTCACTTTAGTACAAATCTTAACCTAAAAATCTCCAAATCAAGCATTTGAACAGATATAAAACAATTAAATAATTAATCTAACTTCATTAACATATTCAAGCTCAAATTAATCAATTAGAACTATATCAAATACGAAATCATAAAACCCTAATTTTTCTCACCATCAAAAATTCCAAAAACAAAAATAAATATTTTAAAAAAATATTTAAAATACTTACCTAACTTTAGAAAGCTCAAAACACATCCAAAATATCCCATAATGAAGCCTATCTCTTGAAATCACACTCTCATGCACAATCGACGTTGGAGAAGAAAATGAAGAGAGACGCGGAATGGAATTCAAATGGAAGGTATTGTACTGAAAAGAGGAGTGGGCACGTGACCCCCACTCATTTCTTTTCTTTCCCTCCCCATTTGTTTTGCTTTTTTTTTTTTAAAAAAAAAAATTAAACCATTCATTATTTTATTTTCTTCCCCTTCATTGTTCTTTTAAATAACCTAAATAATTTTATTTAATAAGAATTATTCATATTAATTTTTATTCTTCTTCTAAAAGTTATAACTTCGAATTAAGTACTCAAAAATTAACACAATTTGAGTAAATTCTCTATTCTAGTAATTAATTACATGGTAACTTGCATTTTCCATGAAATTATTCTTTTCTAATATTACTTCAATTTTAAAAATAAAATTGGGATATTACATTATCTTATGTATCAATGTATTTGAGTTTAACAGTGGTACTAAGAAGGGAGTGCTTCTCAACTGTCATTACTCACCAAATTTGCTTGAAATAACCGAATGCCAGCAAGAAAATCTGAACTTTAATATGCTGATGCAACTTATTACTCAGAGTTGTTGATTTGTTTCAAGGGTCTTTTCGTCTGTATAATCCTTGGAAAAATTATATGCAAAACCATGAACTCGAAAGTTTCAAAAATTGTGTGAGCTTGCCGTATAATAACATTTGACTAACATTAACCGTTATTTGAAAATTCTGACTAGCATTAAAGAGCAATTGGTACTAGAAGTTTTTTCAAGATAAGTAATTGGTATCTTAAACTATCTATTAGCATTATATTTTTAGGTTATTAATGTTGAAATTAAAAGAAAGATCTAACAATACATTATCAATGTTAAAACTTGTTCATGTTTCCAAATTTTGACAAGAGATCTTACCCAATGTTACTTTGATACAAAAGCAATTCTACATTGAGCATTCCACAAACTTCCTCTTAAAATATAAACTTTCCCTTATTTTGCCTATGAGCGGTCTTGTCTTGCGTGAGCTTAAATATATACTTTTTTAGACCTGCTCATATGCAATATAGACTAATATAGACAGGTTCAATATAATTCAATCTAAATTTTTTTTTTTGATTTTGGATTATAACAAGTTGTTGGATATTTCTTTTGAGTTGAAAGTTTAAATTGTTGTTAAACTTTTAAGTTGACTATCTGAATTTATTATTTTTACGTTTATAATTTATAAAATTGTATTAACTCATCCATAAATTTGTGCTAGATGCAAACTTAATTAAACTAGCAAATTGGCTTTGTGTGTTTATTGTTTTTGAGTTTCTAGATTACAAAATTATGTCAACTTGAAATGAACTCGGATTAGATACAAATATGATTAAATCCACTAAGCTTGCTAAACTCATTAATTTTTTATCTAGTCGAGTGAGTTAGGTATATATTGTGCAAAATTTAGTTCATAGAAATGATAGGACTCATTTCAAAGAAAAATAAAACTCAAAAGGAAAAAAACTAATATTAATAAAAAAAGAAAACAAGAAATACCAATAAATAATTTGCCTTAGTTTGAAACTTCTATGTTGAATATAATGATCTATCAATATAAATGAATTTAATTTCAATGATTTATATTTGAAACTAGTAAAGTACCCGTGCAATGCATAGGTCTTATGTTACAATTTTTGTAAATAATTGTTAATCTTGTAGGAAGATGTTTCTCAAAAGAATAACTTGCAACAAACACTTTCGATCTCCATATCATCCTATATGCAATGGGACTATATAATTATTGCCATGAATATTCAATATGTATTTTATAGTAAAGCAA